AATCACTCCATTTCCACAAACTAGATCACATTCACATGGTTGGAGGTTAGAACTTCTAAATGTCTTTTGTGGGCTACAATTTGATCCATAACATTTTCCTTGAGACTGCTCTGAGGGTGGGAGATGTTCAACTCAGGATGATAAGCGCCAGTCCTGTCACAGGCTTTCACCACAGCCATTCCACTCTGCTGTCTGTAACTTATCAATGTGTTTACCCTTAGGATGTGAGAATGGGTCCTGAACACCAAAATCATGAGAAATATCAACAAGTATGAGGGCGAAAAGCAAGTGCACTTCTTACAGAACTGAAGCTTGAAAACAAATTCTGTTGTCTTCTGAAGCTGTCCAAATCTAAACCAACCAACCAATGCTATAAGAACCCTAGAAAATGAAAACACGGATATCACGAAACAGGAAAGTAGAATGTATATATGCTAATTTAGTCTGGAACAGTGATACTAGTAACACATGAAGATTTAATATCTGAATATAGGAGATAATTCTATAATTCAGCCAAGAGAGAGAACTACTGGTCTACCATGAAGATATTACTGAGAAACTTCTGGATTCTCATTGTTACTATCTGTTCTTGTTGAACCAGAAACAAGCAATTTCAGTTGTCTGAGAATTTGGAGATAAAGTTTTCATTTTTAATTAGAATTGTTTGTAATCTAGCCTTATTATCTGAAACCAAATCTTAATGATTATAGAGATTTATGCTTAATAAAAGCTAGTATCAAATAAAACTAGTAAGTGAAATCCATTTTGTTCTGAGGATTCTCCCATAGTTAGAAGCACAGGATTGGAAGAAAGGGTACCTGGAAAACATGAGATTTCGGTTAACAAAAAATTGTTTCTCACCAGAAGCCTCTGTCTACCCATGATTACTCTTTTAGGTAAATAACACTCCACCCTCAGACTGTAAGTAAGACAAATTGCTCTTTTATATCTTTTCAATTAGTCTTGACTTGCTATCCTTTCTCATAGATGGACTTTCTCCTACCGAGAAAGCAAACAAAAGTGCCTCTTATTTTATATGTGGAAGAATGTGCTTTCTTGAGAGTTAGATGCACTGTAATTAAAAAAAAAAATTGCCTTTTCTATGAATGAACCTTATTTGGTGATCTCACCATGTATTTTCTGCAAAGATCATGGTAAAATATGGCAGACAGTTTGAAATTGAAATCCAGACTCTAATGACCAGTTGGGTGATCTTGGGCAGTGCTTCTGATCTTTTGCTTGTTCCTTTACAAGGAACAGTTAATATGTGAGGACCAAAAAGTGTTTAGTTGTGTTATACATAGAGTCTGTATATGTTAGAATGACTCACGGGAACTTAAGAACAACTACCTACCCTCTGAGAATCTTGTTCAGAAGATGGAAAGAGGAGACTCCTGGAACATAAGATGTTCACATTAAATATTGGTTATGAACACTATCCTAGACAGGTAAGTTTGCATGATTTTGAAACTGTGAAGGGCCTGAGAAAACATATGCTCCATTGCATTCATAGTAAATTTGACAAATCAAAAGGCCCGATAAGTTCAGTGACTTGCTGAGATCTCCCATCCATTTGATTACAAATCTAGAAAGAAAGAAAAAAAATCCCTTCTCACAGGTCAGCCTTATCCTACTGAGTACTGGACAGAAGTATCTATGTTTTCTATGTCTGCTCTTATTCACTCATTATGACCCCAGGCACAACAGGATACAGGGCTGCAAAGGGCCTGCATTATCACTGTGGTCACCTGTAACAGGACCATGGTGGTCCACAGGATTTTTTTTAAATAGTTTTATTCCATAGGCTTTTATTAGCTGATTTGGGGAAATAGCTTATCAAATCTTTCTCTGTAGTCAATTTTAATGTGGAAGCTTCACTGAACCTTATTCACCATCAGAACAACACACCATCTTCCATTGACAGACAGGGGGTGGCTGCACATAGGTGTACTGGACAGAAATTGAACTCAGATATCCTACATGGAAACAAGAAGTCTACCAGTGAACTGCTAGTACTCCTTCATTGGTTGAGACTAAAGAATATACAATAGCAGCTGGTATGGACTGATTTCCCTCTTTATTGCTCCTGCCTTAGTCATCGTTTAGGACAATGAAGATAGCCACATATTGGACAGTACAAAGCCACAAAATGTTGTGTTTTTAAATAAAGCTACCCTATTCTTAACCTAGCTATATTCTTCTTAAGCCTTGGTGGTGAAATGGTTATGAGCTGGGCTGTTAACCACAGTATCAGAATTTCAAAACCACCAGCCACTGCACAAAAGAAAGACGAGTCTTTGTATTCCATAAACACTTGCAGTCTCAGAAACCCACAGGACAATTTTACCCCATTCTGTAGGGTCATTATGACTTGAAAGCAACTCTATGGCAGTGATCTTGATATTTATATATTTTATTATCTTCTTATTAGACCACAGCAGCTTCATGAAATGCTGTTCTCCATTAAGATAAAAGTGTGACCAGTAACTGCACAGGAACTACAAAACCATTGCCATTCTCTAGTGGTTCTCAACCTTCCTAATGCTGTGACCCTTTAATACAGTTCCACATGTTGTGGTGCCCCCCAACCATAAAATTATGTTCGTTGCTACTTCATCACTGTCATTATGCTACTGTTATGAATCAGGCGACCCCTGTGAAAGGGTTGTTTGACCTCCAAAGGGTTCTCGACCCACAGATTCAGAACCGCTGCTCTAGATGATAACAAACTGGACCATTGACATTGGACATTTGCCCCTCCACTGTAGTATTGAGCAGGGCATATTATTCTTTAATAGCTATTGACTTGAGCCTTATGGGGAAAAAAGATTCAAGGGTTAATAAAAACACTAATCCCAAATGCTATCACATAATGCACTTTAGCTTTCAGAAACTTCAGTTCTTCTAAATCATATTTCACTGATTTGACTTAATTAAACTCTACCCCCCACTACAAAACAAATAAACCAGGAAATATGAATTACAAAAGAAAGAATGGACACCTGACAACAAATTTCAACCTGACCAGCCCTAAACTTGTCAATCATTTGTGTATAAAGCAAAACAGACTGTTTTCCTTTTTTAAAATTGCTTCATGATAATAACTTTCTCCAAATCTCATTGGGTGCAGGGAAGATCCCCATTTCTACCTTTGTTGCATATAGGATAATACTGTCCATCAGAAAAGGCAGAGCATTTGGAGTTAGCAGATATGAATTTTTTGTCCTGAATATATTACATATTTTCAGTGCAAAATTTCTGCAATAAACTGACTGGTCCATTTTCATGGGACATCGCAGTCTTAAAAATCCATACCATTTAGAAAAATTCACTTTTCTAATTTGAAAATGACTTAAGGCATTTCATAAGAAGGGTGTGTCCTTATTATATGTTTGTTTTTTCAAGATAAGTGCTCTCCTTCAGGAGGGAACCAAAACCGAATTCAGCAGCTGCAGCAGCTGACGTTATCATAGCATGCCAGGGGAGCAACTACTGAAGCTTCAGCATTGAGGAAGACCTTGGGCCTTTACCTAACACCTCATTTCATTTTGCTCTTGCTAATCATAGTTTTTATCACAAAAATGAAATGTTGGAGAAAGTGACATAGTTGAGTGGATGGAGTTTAGAGAGGCAGAAGATTGGAATTAGAGCTCGTCCTATCTCTCATAGGTTCTGGGTCAAGAAGTCTCCCCATCTCCTTGTTTCAATGAGTACAATATCAGGAGTCCACGCATGCTGCCTCACCAGCAGACAGACATCACAGACAGGATAGTGCAGTTTCCATTGAGCAACCAAGGATTATCCTCAGAACCAGGAGGAGAGTGCAGTCGAATTGTTCCGAGTACCATAAAAAATGCCATTTCAGAATCTGGAAACTAAAAAAAAAGAAAAATCTTAGCCAGGAGTTGAGATCTTGCTATCTTAATAGGCCTATATTTATTTTATACTATATACTCTTGAGTATGAAATTCTACCAGGCTGAAAGGCTGTCAACCTTTGCCTCAGCCTCCACAAGAATGTCTGTTATACTTTTCTTTCTCTATATTGATCATTCTATTCCTTCATCTGAATTCCCTCTCTTCAGCAGTCCTACCTGAAACTTTATCCATTCTTCAAGGTTCAGCCAGTGAATCATTGTGAAGCAGGCATAAAATAAGAACTTGAGAGCCATTTTTTTCAGAGCCCAGTGCAAATGCCTTGTGGTGGCTCAAGCCCCGCCTCTTCCAGCCACCCCCATTCCTTGGTAATCAGATGCTGAATGTCTCTTGCATTCAATACCCTTTACTTGGAATTCTAGCTCCTATGTGTTATAAATTTCAAGTTGTCCCTTTGTTTGTGTGCAAGGAACCCTAATGCTCTAATGAGAATATGCCAAAGAAATATTGGGGTCAAGATCTCAAGCCTAATGTCAGATCTATAAGAAGAAATGGATATTAGGAATACCTAGACTTAAGTATCAGATTTGCTCCATATCAGTTCTGTTCATGTGAGCTAATCATTCATGATATCTAATATCTTCCCTGTTAAATAAGGAAGTTGGATTAGATATTCTATCATTGACTTTCCAGGCTAAAAGTATATTCTACATGAATTAGGGATATACTTAAATTGACCTATCAGTTACAGAGGATGCCAACAGTTCTTTTGAAAGCTGACTTAGCTACAGAAATCTCGAACCTCTACACTAAGTGCAGAAGAAAAAGTCCACTGGTGACCTAATTTCTGAGGGTTAAAGAAACTCCATGTCTCGTGGTTAGTGTTCTAAATGTGCTTGGATGCTCTGCTCAATGTATGCACCTGAAGGTTCTACTACAAAAAGCTCTGCTTAATATCGATGTACTCACAGACGTTTTGCAGCTTTGCATAGCTGCCTGTGTCTACAGATGTCTACTGCCTGATTATGGGCCTAGGAGCCTGGGAGAGCCAGATAGACATGTGGGCTTTGGCTGTCAAATCGAGCATTTGAACACCCTTGGTGGTTGTTGGAGGACCTTACTGCAGGCTTTTCATATCCTTGCCTTGAATTTTGAAAGCAACGTAAGCACCTAAGGATGTATAGAGAGATATTCCTGTTTGTACTCCTGTCAGGTACGTGACTTTTTTTCATCCGGATACTGGTTTATTTAATTTGAGGGTCTGGTTGAATGTTTCAAATGCTCCACGTGATGCATGTGGGGGTAATTAGCAAATTCTTTAAAGCTATGTGTGCAGCCAAAACTGCTGTCTTTTTTAAAGGACAGGGTTTGGTCCCCTGTGGACTTTCCAAATCCCTAAGCAAGGAACTATGCAACTTGTTTAGGTGCAGGAAAAGGAAGGAAAACTGTTTTTTTTACAGTAATTGTATAAGCTACATAGAGTTATTAAATTGTTGGAAGAAATGATGTTGATTATATTATATATATATATATATTATAATCCAAACATCCTAAAGCCATGCAATTTTACATGACTTTGGTAAGAAACTGCAGCAAAGCACCTAAATCTGCTGAATTAAAGCAAACATATCAGATGGTAGATGATAAATTTCAACTCGAAGCAACTGGGCCAACATCCAGTTTTTGAAGGGTCTCTATATGAAACATTCCATGTACAGACTGTCTTGGATAACATGTAGGCAATTTTGAAAACTGATGCAACATCTTTGTTCCTTTAAACATTGTGCTAACGCTAAGGTCAGATATGCCCAGGGTTGATTAATCATTTAGAGCTTTGCCTAGTAGAGGGTTGGAGAGCATTTATACCTGGGTGGAAAGAGAGGTCCCAGGGTATAAGCTATGTCAGAGTATGAGTCCTATTCTGTAAATATAGGCACTCCACCCCCCTCCCACCCCAATTCTTTTCTTAAATCGCTGTGAGTTTCAGCCTCTACTCCCTCTGAACTAAATTTCTATTAAACAGTCCTTTCCTGTAAAGCAGTGGTTCTCAACCTTCCTAACGCTGTGACCCTTTAACGCTGTGGTGGTGACTCCCAACCATAAAACTATTTTCGTTGCTACTTCATAACTGTCATTTTGCTACTGTTATGAACTGGGAAACCCCTGTGAAAGGGTCATTTGACCCCCAAAGGGGTCGTGACCCACAGATTGAGAATGGCTGCTGTAATGTATAGCTGTTGGAATAGAAATAAGTCTACATATTTGCTAGATAGATTTGCTTTGATTAACTTAGACACTTATTTTAACAAATTCTCATAATGGCCAGCTTTCATAGACAGGACACACACGGGGAGACTTCAAAAAGTTCTTGGAAAATTTTAACTATGGGATAATGGGTTTTTTCCACAAATTTTTTGAAGCTCTCCATTACATGGATGTGAAATTTTGCTTCTAAACTTAATATTTATAAAGGCAAAATGATATGTCACCCATACTTGCATTCTCTGACTTTGTTTTACATTAGAAGCATGAATGTGCCAGTTTTGAGAAATGTTAAACCCTTCTGTTTTGTTTGTTTGTTTTAACTGCTTGCCTCAGTTTACTGTCTCGGTAAGCCCTCTGGCTACAGACTTCTCCAGCAAGGGCAATGTAGACAGTGATGAGGCCCCTCTTAGGGAGGAGTGTCTTGTTTGCAGGGCACGACGTCTCTCTGTCTCTATTCAGCATGAGATTCTCTTATGAAGACCACACAGTAGGGGCATGCTCTTTCCCCACAATACCGAGAGTGAATTCCCCAAATGAAAACCTGAGTAAAACCTTATATGGACTTTCCATTGCCTTAAGAATAAAGTCCTAATTCCATCACATACAGTGCTTCCCTCTCTTTTGAGCCCTGTCCCATTTCTCCATTGTTCTCCTACTTACTCACATCTTACGGTGCCAGCACACTTAGAGAGGCAGCTCCCCTGCTTGCAGTGAGCTCTCAGACACAGGGCATAGCTGCCACTGCTCGCGCTGATTCCAATGCTCACATAGACTACCTGAGGGACACCTGAACTTCTTTCGAGGTAAATCCACGTGGTCTTTCTGTCTCTTCTTCCATTCGCTAAAATTGTCACCATCTCCTTTGTACCTCTAGTTCCACCATCATCCAACAATTACTATGTAATATCTAGATTAAATTATCAGTGTGTGTCTTTCTATTAAACTCAATTTCTTTTAAGAAGAGAAGGCAGTGTTTTATCTGTTCGTGTGTTATTAATTCAGAGCACATTGTCCCACTGCCATCGGGTCAATTCCAAGTCACAGCGACCCTACAGGACAGAATAGTATTGCCCTTTTTTGGTTTCTAAATCCTCATGGGAGCAGAAAGCCTCATCTTCCTCCTAGAGATTAGCTGTTGGATTCAAATTGCTGACCTTCTGGTTAGTAGTCCACAGAGTAACCCACTATGCCACCAGGGATCCCTTAGCACATAGTAGGCATGCTTAAAAAAGAAAAACTTTCATAATTGAATAAACAAATGAATCCATACTTAAGGCCTTTCTCCACTCCAACCCAAGGAACCCGCAGGGCATATGCAGAGCTTCCAAACAGTCCATCATTACATTTTTTATTAAGCCTTTATCAAATCATGCTAAGCACTGGGGCCTTTGTGACAGTTGTAATCAAATTCTAATATGGAGTTTCAAATGCATAGCTAGGCAAAGATGGTTGGGTGCAAGGGAAGAGCAGGGACAAAGCTTTGGCATTCCAAGAATCAAGAGCTGGGTGGCATGGTGAACTCCAGGAGGGAAGGGAGGAGTGAAAACTCAGCGACATAAAAGGAAGTCAGAGATGGGTGGTTTAAAGTCTTGTAGTTGTTGAGAAACATAGTACAATAAGTCCCATGAACTGAAAACACTTTCCTAACTGACCTCCACGGAATTCTGAATCAGGTAGCAGCATCTGTGCTGCTGGAAACATCAGGAAACCTGGAGGAGAAAGAATATTTGTAATAACTGTCCCACCTCTGAGGTAGTCTCAGTTCAACAGTTAACATTGGAACTCGCTTAACCTTCATAAACTTTAAATTTGGTTTATATATTTTTCACATGTAGATTATTTTCTTCTGGTTGTAAAAGCATTGTACTCATTGTTGAAAGGTTGAAAAAAATTCCTGCTGATCATCTATAAATACCTATGTTTCAACAGTGTTGCAATCATTTTGTATAAGCCACTGTACTGCTTAACTTCCGTAGTAGATTTTTATTTTCCCAATTAAATGCAACCTGGACCTTCATTTAATTACTGTATTTCTCTATAATATAATTATTCCCTAATGTACTATGTGCAACAAATAAATATATTATATAGCATATATAATTATTTATATATATATTTCCTAACAATTTATCTTTATTATTGTTGCAGTAGATAATTATGCATAAAGCATTGTCGTCATTTCTGTTGTGAAATGTGTGAAGGTTTATAGAGTAGAACATTGGTTTTACTTTCAATAACTCATATACTCTTTGTTCAACTTATCCTTTGCAATCGCCTAAGGTGCCATTACTTATCCTATTCACTCTGTATTTTCTATTTGTACTTCTCTTTATTTCTTTTATTTTTTAATGGTTTTATTGGCATATCATACAATTGAATAGTTCAATCACATGAAGAAGAATTGTGCAATAATCATGACAATGAATTTTAGAACATTTCCCCTTTTCTCATATGCATTGTTGTTAGCTCATCATTTCCTATCAACCTCCCCTGTCATGGCTCTAAGTAATTATGTATCCATTTACTATTTCTATAGATTTACATATCCTGGAGTTCATAAATCTTACCAAACAAAACCAAGAAACAAGCAACAACAAAAAAATCACTGACAAGTAAAACAGAAAGAAAAACCTCAATCAAAAAGAAAGCAGAAAATAATAAAACTGAATCAACTTTAAAATGAGAGTGCAGTATAGCACCGATGAAACATACAGCTTTCCTCTAGTTCTTTAATGCTTCCTCTCCCCAACTATCATGACCTCAATTCTACCTTACAAATCAGATTAGACCAGAACATGTACACTGTTACAGATAAGAGCTCAAAACACAGGGAATCCAGGATAGATAAACCCCTCAGGGCCAACAATGAGATTAGAGATACCAGGAGGATAAGGGACAAGTGGGGGGAGAAAGATCACAAAGATCAACATATAACCCCCTCTCAGTGGGAACAACAACAGAAAAGTAGGTCAAGGGTGACAGAGGATGATGTAAAATATGAAAATAATCATCTATAACTTATTGAGAGTTCATGAGGGGGGAGGGTTGGGAAGGGAGGGGGATAAAATGAGGAGCTGATATCAGTGGCTCAAGTAGAAAGAAAATTCTTTGAAAATGATGGCAATATATGTAAAAGTGTGCTTGACACAATGGATGAATGTATGGATTGTGATAAGAGATGTAAGAGCCCCAAATAAAAGTATTTAATTAAAAAAAGAAGAAAAATGAGTCAGAAGGGAAATCAAATAGTAAGGTGTTACATTTTAACCTAGCTATATCTGCCATATGCAACTTTACAAAGAGCACTGTCCTAGGGATCTTGGAGTCCTAGTACCACAAGTTGAGCCCATTTAGTATCCACAATGATTATAAATGTGTGCCTTAAGTGCATTAGGCTGAACTTAATGATAAAATGGGGGAGAGGAGGACTAAAGTAAGAAATCAAAGGGTGGAATGGAAATGACGACCATGACCATGACAGGACATCTCCAGTTGTGTTTTCAGTGATATTTCTGTATTGCTGAACCATAGGTTGTCAGTTAAACATGGGGATGCTAACCTCATGGTTGGTGGCTCAAATAGAAAAATGGAGCTTTCTGCTCCCATAATGATGTATAGTTTTGTAACCCCTAAGAGACAGTTCTACATAGGGTCATTATCAGTTAGAATCAACTCAAAGTAAATGAGTTGGGTTTTTTGAGGTTGTTTGGTTTTGTTTTTTTTCTGAACCTTAGGCTCATCTCAAACTCTTGTGAAATACCTATAACACATTTCCGGCCTCTTGGTTATTTTCCCTAGTTATTAACTGTTTTGATAACTCCTTTGTATTCTTTTGTAACAACAGGTTTTGCTCAGATTGTGTACCATAAAAAAAAAAGTAAAGTCCCTTGTTCATGACCTAAAAATATGATAGAGATCCTATCTGACATTTGCTAATGGATAATTACTTTTGTTCCTTAGTTACCCTTAAAAATGTTTTATACCCTTGTATTGGTTTGGTGAAGTTAGAAGTATTTCTTTCCAAAATATTGATCATTATTGTTGTTCAATGCAATCAAGTTGGCTAAGACTCATAGTGACCCTATCCACCACAGAATGAAACACTTCCAGGTCCAGCACTGTCCTGCCTGAGTTCCTATGACTGAGCCCATTCATTCTGACACTGTGTCAATCCATCTTATAGAGGGACTTCCTGTTTTGCCTCCTCCTACTTACCAAACATGATGTCCTTCTCCAAGGACTGGTCTCTCCAGACAGTATGACCAAAGAATGTATAACAAAGTCTAACCACCCTTGCCTCTCAGGAGTCCTCTGGCCTTTCTTCTTCCAATACAGATCGGTTTGTTCTTTAAGCAGTCCATGGTACTTTCAGAATTCTTCTCCAGCACCACAATTCAAATGCATCCATTCTTCTCTGGTTTTCTTTATTCACTGCCCAACTTTCACATGCATAAGAGACAATGGAGACTACCATGACTTGGGTCAGGTGTACTTTAGCCCTCAAAGTAACATCTTTGCTCTTCAGCAGAATCTTTCAAAATTTCAATTTGAATGCAATTTTATGTTAATTGTAATATTTTCTAAATATCATGTGGTTATTTAAAATACTTCTATGATCTTAAATTATCATTTCTATTACAACTAAAAAATTTTTAAGTACTTAAAGGGATTCGCTATTTTGTATGATACTCAATTTTTGTAATTTACTTAATTTTTACATAAATGTGAAGAAATTTTTGGTAAGCTGAGTCAAAAAATAAAGTGTGATTTATAAGAGATGATATAACATTGCAGAAAATTTGAAATATTAATATTTTATAATTTTGGCTTCCAGCAATTCGAACCACCTGCTGCTCTATGGGAAAAAGATGAGGCTTTTTATTCCTGTAAATAGTTACAATCTCAGAAACTGACATAGGCAGTAGTACCCTGTCCTGCAGGGTAGCTAGGAGTCAGGATTGACTCAGTGGAAGTGGGTTTGGTTTGGTGTGGTTTTTGTATACAACTGGGGGGAAAGCAAAGAGTTGACAGATGGCTGGAAGTGGCAGGTTGTGGCATTCTGTCTTGAGTAGATTAACGAGAAATATCAAATGTCAAGACACTTTTAATTGTTTGTAGACTGTTTAGGAAATATTGGGCATTTACCTAAGTAGTAAATGTAATGGTTTTCTCTGGGTAATGTCTGTAGGCATTTTTATCTCCCCACTCCATCACACTTGAGCATTTTCAAGGGAATATCTGAGAAAGAATGATCAGAGGCATGCTCACAGTGTTTAGTACAGCAATGTTTATCTCAGAATAATCTAAAATTCTCAGAAAAGTGAAAATCATGTGAATGTTCAAAGTAGGACACTGATAGCCTGTAAGTAAACCATAGTATATCCATAAAATGGAATGTTAAGTCATCAAAATCTTATGGATGATATGCAACAACATGATCATGTATACTAAACAAAGATTCAGGTTTTTAAGCACTATGTACATATTTAAACATGAAAATATCATACTTAATGCCATCTAAAATTTCAAAAGACTTTATAACAAGTGTTTAAAATGTTCACTTCTGGGTAGTTGGGTCCTAGATGATTCTTGACACTTTATCCTATCCCCAAATTTCCTTCATTAAATTTATTTTACTTATTTAATAAAAAATACCCTCTTACTTTAAAAATAACTTGTATTGCTTTAATGAGACTGTATGAATATATTTTTATACTAAAGGATAACCATGGTTTGTAAAAAATTATGTCACTTGGTTATCTTAACCATTAATCTTATACTGCAGACAGTAGTTCATACATTTCTGCTGCAGCTCTGAAGTTCTACACTAAAAGAGAGAAAAGAATTATCGGTGGGGAGCCTCAGAATTGAGTCACATCTAAATAAGGTGACTTATTTAAGGGAGGAAAATAAATATTGTGATAGTTTGGGTTAATTTGTATTAGGGAAACAGGGTAATGCCCAAGATGTAGAAACAAGTGGCATGGAATAGAACTTTAGTCCTGTATATTTATATAACCATAAGTTTGTATTCTACTTTAATGTGGACAATTTCCCAGGATATGTAAAATGCCTTGCAAATGGCATTCCATTATAAGAATGATAACAATAATAGCTAACAAGAATGTTTCTATGTGCTAAGTGCTGTCCTAACTGACATTTCTATGTTTATATAGATAAATATCTAAATCTATTTATATATATTGCTATATTTATGACATATATATCAGGGAATAGAACGTTGTATGGCACACAATTTAGGAGCATGGATCTTACCTGTTCCATATGAAAATTAAAAATTATACATATATATTTGTTGAACTTCAAATATTCCTTGCCATTTTGATATTACGTGTGTATGTGCCTGTATACACTTTATGCAGATGATGAAGCTGAGGCAAATTTTCCTCACCTGCAATCTCTACTTATATATAAATTTTAGAACCTCGCTAGGTGGAACATAAACTAAATTTGTTTTTTGTGATGTGCTATCTGGCATCTGGCCTGCTCATAAGCCTGCTAATAAGCTCATAAGAATAAATCACTTCATTCTTGATGCCATTTTCACCATTTGTTCCATACAGGTTATGTTTCTACACAGGATGAATCAGAAGCCTCTCCACCTTCTGTCACGAAAGTTCAAGAAAATGCTGTTACCAGAGGCTCACCCAGCCCAGAAAACACAGGAGGTTTGTTCTGTATTTTAAAATAAAAATTTTAGAGCTCGCCCTAGGAAGGATATGGAATGCACTGGTCTTTGGTGCTGTTCTGGACGGCCTCCTCAGTCACTTCATGCTTGATCCCCTTCTCGACTTCTGTGATATCAGATTATACAGTTTCCACACAGAACCCAACAGAAGCAATTCTAACTGACGAATTGAAATATGTAAACTTCAATGCAGAAATTAATGATAATTTAAAAAAATGATATTGTCAATAATTTAGTCTTATTTGGACCCACAACCAATACTCATTAAAGTATCAGTCAAGAGATCGAACTACGATGGCATTGGATAAATCTGCAAGCAAGGATATTATTTGGAAGATGAATGTGTGCCCGACCTAAGCCATGGTATTTTCCATTGTTTCATATGCATGTGAAAACTGGACATTGCATAAGAAAGAAAGACTGAAGAAAAATTGATGCATTTGAATTTGAATATTGAAATTACTATGGACTGTCAAAAATTTCAGCAAATATCTCTTGGAAGAAGTACAGCCATAATGCTCTTTAGAGGAAAATATGATGTGACTTGGCCTCACTTACTTGGCACATGTAATCTGGAGAGGCCAGTCCCTGGAGAAGACCACATGCTTGGTAAAGTAGAAGGGCAACAAAAACGAGGAAAGCTCCCAACAAGACGGATTGACATAGTGGCTTCAGCAATGGGCTCAAGCTCAGGAATAATTGTGAGGATGGTTCAGGACTGGGCAGTGTTTCCTTCGTTCATACATGGGGCAGATATGAGTGGAATCTACTTAATGGTGCCTAACGACAGCTGGGATATATAGGAAAACTAAGAGAGAAAAACGAGAAGTGAAAGCTGAGTGATAGACACCATCTGTACTCTAGAGAGAGTCTCGAAATATGGAGAAATGATCAGCAATGTAATAAATCACATAACTCACGAAGGTGCCTCTGGCATAGCCAAAGAGTTTAAAGGGATCCAAAAGCATGATGGTGAGGAAGGTTTGTCATCAGATTATGTTGGGCTGAGATCTGCGTTGATGTTCCAAGGTGAATTTTCCCAGCAGACTTCTCACCTCACAGAGTTTCTTTAAGGATCAAATAAGAAGATATATGTAAATCTACTTAATTCAATAGATTATTCAGTTGTCATTTAATAAGTAGTAACTGTAAGACAAGCTGGGGATAAGAAAAGATAAGGGTGGGTGTGTCTTTTAGGTGGAAATGAGAGAAGTTGCTTGAAAGAAGAAAAGGGGAGAAGCCTTTGCAGGTGGGCCTTAGGGAGGATGCTGCACATTTAAAATAAATCCTATGAGAAAACGTGAAGTGATGATAGGCTAATAAACTAACAACTCATTATGATATTTTGAGATAAATATAAAAGAGTGAGAATTATGAAGGAAGGGAGATTAGACCATGTACTTAGAACTAATTATATGGCTTCTGGATACAACTAAGTAATCTAATTTTCAAAGTGCATTCAAACCAGAAGGCCCCTTTGGAATGACCCTGGTCCCATACATCTCTAGATGGTGCAAACAGCTCATTTGCTTGGCTACTAACTGAAAGGTTGGTGGTGTTAATTGGTCCAAAGACACCTCAGGAGAAAATCCCAACTATGTATTTGTGAAAAATCAACCATTTGAAAACTTTATGGCGATTTAACCTATCCAGGGAAATAAAGACATGTACAAAGAAAACGAAATTCTACCATGATCAAAAGAGACTTGCATAATGGAAAAGCGTTCCGTGTTCATGGATAGGAAGATTTAACATTATGAAGAATGTCAGTATTACCCAATTCAACTCAACTCAACTGACTGCCATTGAGTCAATTCTGACGTAGAGCAAACATGTAAGACAGGATAGAACTGTCCCTGCGGGTTTCTGAGATTGTAACCCTTCACCAACTTTATATGGAAAGGCAACAGACCCAGGAAAGGCAAAGCACTACTTAAGAAGAAGAGAAAAGTAGGAAGCCTTTAACTACTGGACATACAAACCTAAAAACATAGTCACAGTAGTCTCAACAGCCTAGTCCTGTTATAATGGTAGACACATAGACCAATGAAGCAAAATAAAGAATCTAGATGTAAATCCATCTACTTACAGATAACTGATTTCTGACAAAAAAATCTAATGAGATACAGTAATTATGGAAAAGATAGTCTCTTCAACAAATGATGCTGGGATAACTGGATTTTCCTTTGTAAAAGATTGAAAAAGTAACCATACCTCATTCCATATACAATAAGTAACTCATGATGGATTAAAGACCCAAATGTAAACACTAGAACTATTAATAACATAAATGAGAAAATAAGAGCTAACTTAAAAATTCTAAAACTTAGCATAAACACACTAGCAAAGTTCATTTAAAAAGCACACACAGCAGAACATAAGATAGATGACTGACAGCTCCTAAAAATAAGACACATGAATTGAAAGACTACTTCATCAAAAGAGCAAAAAGGGGGAACTGATTACAAGAATCTAAGTATAGCCTCCTCACTGGGGGATGGACAGCAGACAAGAGGGCAGAAGGAGACATCGGACAGTGTAACTTATGGCAAAACTATAATAATTTATGAATTATGAAGGGTTCATGAGGGGGAGGGGGGAAGGGGGAAAATGAGCAACTGATATTAAGGCTAAAGTAGAAGGCAAATGTTTTGCGAATGATGAGGGCAACAAATGTACATATGTGATTGGCACAATGGATGGATGTATGGATTGTGATAAGAATTGTACGAGCCCCCAATAAAATAATTTTTCTTAAAAGCGCAAAAAGAATATCATACCGGCGAAACATTTTCTGCAATTTTTTGCACAAGGGACTAATCTCTAACAGCTAAAGAAAACTGCAACACCTCTAAAAGAAAATTATGAATAATTCAATTAAATATGGTAAAGACCTGAACAGATAATTCACCAAAGATATCCAGGTAGTCAACAATCATATGAAAAAATGCTCTGAGTCACTAGCCATCCAAGTGATGAAAATCAAAACAATGATGAGATACCACCTCACACTGGTATTGTAAGCAAAAAAAAAAAAACCCTCAGAAAATAATAAATGTTGGAGAGGATGTGAGAGGTTAGATTCCTCATGCACTGCTCAGAAACTCAAATCTACTACCATAGACTACGTTTTGGCTTATAAGCAGTCTTACAGGACAAAGGAAACTTGCTCTTGTGTCTTTTGGAGGCTGTAAAATCTTCACAGGAGCAGAAAGCCTTGCCTTTCTCCCTTGGAGCAGCTTGTGGTTTCAAACTACTGTCCTTGCAATTAGCAGCCCAATGCATAACCCACTATGCCACCAGGGCTCCACACTGCTAGTAGGACTGTAAAACTTGGCAACCACTGTGGAAAGCTACATGGTACTTCCTCAAACAATTAGAAATAGAAATATCATATGACCCAGCAATTCATTTACTTGGTATATACCCTAAAGAAGTTAGAACCATACTAGAAATGCAATCATATCAATTTTTTTCTTTTGTCAAATATGCACACTTAAGTAAATCAAAGCACCACTCATTATAGTAAAAAGAGGGAAACAACCGAAAGACCCATCAATAGAATGGACAAATAAACCTTGGTGCACACACAACCAAATAAGTAGAGGGACAATAAATGTAAATAGATGGATAAATAAACTTCGGTACATGCATTTTGGCAAAGAAAATTTATAAAAGTGAAATACCTTATGGCATGGATGGATTCAGAAGATATTATGCTGAGTGAAATCAGTCAATCACAAAAAGACAAATATTATACAAGACCACTTTACAAAAGAAAAAAAACAGACAAAAATACTCATATAAAAACAGTCTTTGGGAGTTCCTGCGGGGCGGGGGGCAGTGGGGGGTTTCGGGAAGGAAGAAAAGCTGGGAGGTTTGATAAATACTTAAAGTTGTTGAATACAAAAATGATGATCTGAAATGTAAACCACCATCTAATTCACAGTAAGAAAATATCTTGGGATAAATAGATTCAATCTACTTCGGATTCCCCAAAGAACTTCATTTTTCTTTGCTCACCTCATTCTATTTTAAAAAGGAAATATTCAGATCTTCCTATCACATTTAAATAACAAACTACAGAAAAAGAGGAAGACATGGAGAAGAAAGATGATGTTTGTTACACCACAGTTGTACTCTGACACAAGGGGTGACCACGTGTTGATGGCAGCAGGTTAGTGGTTATGGACACAAACAGCGCCATCTGCCATGTAAACTATCAGTAGTCTTCAGAACGGTGGAGCAGCTGTAGGGGTTACCATGCATTATCTAAGTTTATCCTCACAGCATCGCAAAGAGCTACGTATTATAATCTTCATTTTTCCCAAGAGGATATTAGACCAAAAACCAAACCAGTGCCCTTGAGTTTATTTTGTCTCATAGCAATGCTGTACAGAATTTCCAAGTCATTGTATTTCTTTAGGGGAGCAGACAACTCCAACTTTCTCTGCAGAGGGGCTGGTGTGTTTGAAGCGCCCGCCTTGCTGTGAGCAGTGCATGTTTTTTTCAATAGCACCACCAGGGCTCCTTAAGAGCATACTAAAGCACAGAGAACGTAAGTAACTAGTCCCAAACCATACAACTAGTACAAGGCATGTTCACGAGTAAAACCCACAACAATGTTCATCAAAAAATCATGTAAGAGGGGACAAGTCACAACTACCCTTTATTCACAGTTCTTAAAGAAAGACATATTATGGAGTCAAGATCTTGACTGTGCTGCACTCCTGTTACACTAGTGGTAATAATTAAGTTGAAGAAAACTGATGATCTTCACAGGGCTTCATCATATAAAATGGCATTTTAAGACAGCAGAAAACTAAATGTAAGATGTGAACAGAAGAGGGGGAAGTTAACACTGATGGAGCATTAAGGCCGCACCAGAAACTTCTGCAGAGAAGAAATCCAGAGTTACTCTTGGCAAAAGGTCAGCTGGGACACAGCCAAAGTTTTGAGTCAGACTCAGAGGTAGGAATGTGTAAAAGTGGCAACAACGTGGTCAATTTTCAGGTTGGATCTAGTCAGTGTGGTATGGTTTGATGTGGTGTGGTGTGACGGCTCAGCGTGTCTCCTTTCTTCTTACTAGCTTTGCTTTCTTCCAATGTGCACTACTTCTAAGGGACATCGACAGTGGATTCTTCCGGTACTTGCTCCTACCTTTCCTCTTAGTTAATGAGATGGCTTACTAATTTCTGGCCAATGAACATATATGAGTATTTGAAAATCAATATTAGGATGACTTAAGATAAAACTGATAGATTAGCTCATGAATTTTCATTTCAAGCTAACTCTTGAAAGTTGTCCAGTAACTTTGAAAACTCTGTTAAGAAATGGACCACTGTCTTTCCACATCCCCTAAATTAAAAAAAAAAATCTAATCTCCAGATTCATTTGTTTTGTTTTATGTTACACACATCCTATTTTTCTGAATTTATTTTGAAATGTTGTTTTATGTATTTTAGAAACAGTGAAACAGATTGACTTCCCTTTCTCAGGACCAGGTATGTGAACGGTTGATGCCAAAGGACATGCATTCTATTTAAATATGCCTCAATAGCTTCAAAATAAAAGGATCAACTTGAAAGTTTATGCTGTTTGCCTAGGTGCACCAAAGAATTAAGTCAAACACCATATGCTCTTTAAAAAATTAAAATAGTCATTTCTTATATTAAAAATTTGGAAATCCACTTACATCCACCATAATGTACCCAATTCCACCACATAGCAACCCTCTAAGACAGTCAACATGCTGCCTGCAATGTCCAAGGCTGGACATCTTTTTGGAAGCATATTTTCTCATCTCTCTCCCTCAGAGTGCTGCTGGGTACCAACCTTGAAGTTCAAAGCCTAATATTGGGACACTTGGGCACTATTTTTTGAAAATGTAACACATAATTCAATAGTGATTTTTCTTTTAGGTGAGATCTTTTTTTCACTAACCAGGAGTGCATGAAAAATGTCCCTTACAGGTTATAAGGCACTAGAACTTTCTTCTCCAGTTTTTAAGTAAGGAGATTAAAAACAACTCATGACATAGCACCTTATCACGAATAAATGTAGGCCATTCTGTTTCAATACTGGTTTGCCTTTGGCCATGCATTAGCACTACCACTTAGGGACTGTTTTCACAACATGACAGAAGTGAGGACTGTACTTTCTTTTTCAGGTGCTACTGCAGATCTGATTGTAGTTGATTTCTGTCTCCGTTTACCAATTAGCATTCTAGTCCTCCTTCGCACTTGGCCTGCATCACTACTGCACATGGGAAACACAGGCTACAGAGTTGAATCACTACTTTCATAAATCCAAGCTAAGTGGACCGGAAGCCTAAGTAATACCAAAGGGAAGAATCTTTGCTTAAAATAAGTTAAAAAGAGCCCTTACTTAAAATGAGATTTAAAAATACAGTTTTAAAATAGAAATTTATCCATAGAAATTTAATTAATGCTAATTTAATTAACTAATACTTAATTTAGTAATATAAACTAATATATCATTTTACCTGTGTGTGGAGATTTCTACTCTATTCTTTCAAACACACAGTCGATGTGTTGTAAGTATGCAGAGAAACTATGTAACTTAATTGATTTAAATTTTATTTCATCCTTGGGACGCAAAAGATTTGAAAAAGCTTTAATGAGTATATTCTAGTGACTACATGGTGAAATGTGCATTAAGAGTCCCTGAAAAGATCACAAGCTGGGAACAGAGGTGATCTGAATTGTAGTTAACACTATGCTTTCAAGTAGGCTCAGTAACTTACCCTCATTAGGCTTCCTCATCGGTTAACTGTTTGTACCTATTACCTTAGAAATTCGTGATTCTATAAACTGTCCAGCATGATTTTATTCAGTAAAACATTTTCTGTCATCATTTTTATGATCATCTTTCATAAAATAACTAGGTTTTTTTTTCTATATCAGAGGAGAATGTCCACATAGCTCCTACTTCTAGATACTTGGAATCAGACCCTTGGGTCTTGGGTCTGCCATTAGCTAGCCATGTGACCTCAGACAATAACATTATTGCTCAAACTTTGGTTTTCCACATTGATATTGTGAAAACTCAATTTTTGAAAAGATAAAGTATATATAAACTATGTTGATGTATTTTCTGTAAAAGACAATGTGATAATACCTTCCTTTTACCTATTTCACTTTTTAATTGATATGTTGTAGTTTATTTGACACTTTCATGATTTTCTACTTTCTTTTTCTCCTGAAGTGACAGCACTCATTATCTTTGGAGTGATGGCTGGTATCATTACCATTATTCTCTTACCCAGTTACTGTATTAGTCGCCTGAGAAAGGTGAGAATTTACATTTTAATTTTGCTCTAAGTATTTGTGTCAATAGCTCTATGAGGGATTATTCTTTTGTGTTCAATTAAACTCAAAAGGGGGGAAAACCTGCCTAAAACTCACTTTCAACTAGGCACATAGATATCATTGAAATGATCTCATGGAATTTTTGTTTGTTCTGCAAATCCATTGCCCTATAGTTAATTCCAACTCACAGAGGCCCTGGGCTGGAGGAGAACTTCCATCTAGGGCTTCTGAAGCTGCAAGTCTTCCTGGAAGCAGACGGCCCCAATTTTCTCCCACAGAGCTGCTGGTGGCTATGAACTGCCACAAGTTGTAACTGCTGTACCCTAGGTGATCTTTGCCCAATAAACGGGAACTGGAAATATTAATATGGAGGGGGAATCATACTGCATATTTAGATCTCTCCATTTCTTCAATAAAATATCTCTGAAAGTGGTTATCTAACTTGATTTATATCTTGGGAGACATTTGACAAATAATTGACATCTATTTTGATAGATATAGATGGACATAGGTAAATTTCTACTTCACTCATCCTCAATTCTGGATCTCTCTTTGTGATAATCACTATAAACCACTAAATGTATTGTTGTAAAAGGCCTATTAATCACACTGCGGTGCTGAATTCTCAAACTAAGAATATTCAATTCTACGGGCTCTCTTTTTTCCCCACTGCTTTGGTCAGGTGACTTCTATAAACATCACATATGCCATGAAATATATTTTTCTTAAATAATGATTTTTTTAATAACAGTAAAGTAATTGAGAATGCTTGATGCTCTATATCTGAGAATTTGGTAGGACCTGAAAATAAAATGTGTCCATTTTTAAGGAATACAGTTTTGAAAAAAAATGTTCTTGCATGTGGGCATATCTGTCAATAGGTAGCTTCTTCTTGGTCAATATTCTAGAATCAGAAGAAGACAATAATATACTAAGCTTCCAAAATTCAGAGAAAATTTTCTAGATATAGATACATACATAAAAATAGATATAGAGAAGATTTTGGTCATGGTCAACATGACTAAAGTATCTCACCCTCTTGTATTATGTTTGCAATTTTAGCTATTCATCCGGCAGAGAAATATATAAACAATCCATTTTGGAAGTAATAGTTTATCTATTGACACACCAAATGCTATTTAGAAATAAAAATACAAGCTTATGTTAAAGTGTGTATACATCTGTGAAATAGTAAATAAGAAACCTTGAAAGCAATAACTTAGAAAAATATTTTAAGTCTGATTCATTTTTCATAGAGTGTTAAGTTTAAAACTTATGGATTACTATTTTCTTGTTTTCCATTCACAGAGAAGGACAGTTGATGTACAACCTCCATTGTGACAGGTACACCTTAAGGTTTTATTGAAGCAGAAAAGCCACCCGGGTGTAGATATTGTCAATGTATTTTGCTTTTATAGAAAGAAAATAGATCAAGTAGTTAATTTTTCCTGAGTATTGTGAGGTCTGGTATATGCAACTGTGTTTACTTATATTGTATTTGATCAATGCTACTTTTGTAATTTTTTTCATTTTTAATTCAGCATAACCTGTAGTATAGTAAAATTCCCCTGTACAGTAATTTTTTAATTTTTTTAAAAGTACTATAAGTAAAGATGAATCTCATGATCTTGGTGTACTTTTAATATTTCAAACTTTAACATTATATGTATAGAAAAATACAGCACTAATGTTTTAGACCCCTAAATCCTAGAACCAGATGTGGATTTGAATTCATATTTCAACATTTCTTTAGCTATATAACCTTGAGGGAACAACAGAAACACTTAAAATAGAGATGACCATAGTGTCAAACTCATATCATTTAAGAAATATTAAACAAGCTCCTCCTATAGCTAAGGATACAGAATTGTTCATGACCACAGCAAGTGCTCGTGCCTGACAGCTTCTGTTAACATTGCAAGCTCTATTCCTAGTTGACCTCCTGTGCACACTGGCCAATCTTTTGGTCTCCTTGCATTTCCACTCTAGGTGCTAAGTTGATACACAAGTAGAGAATTGCACGCATTTGTTGCCAACTTCAAGAAAAGGAATAACTTTATATTAAAAAATTCAGATCTCAGGATATTATTTGGGGACAAGTTAAACTCTAACAAAGCCAGGAGATTCCATAGCAGCATGAGAGCAATTCGTAAGAACTAATTAGCTGCTGCCACCTCCAGCATGTGCCCCCAGTTTTGTTCAAGCATTTTGTTTTGGGGGTGTTTTGTTTTGCTTTAAAACCTATCCAAGTTCATTTATTTCATTTTCTAGAGCTCTCATTACCCTCTCACTAAATGTCTGCTGGACTTTTTCTGAAGTATGAATCTGGGTGTGTGGGAGGTGTCCACAAAGAATAAGTCTGAAATGGAGCTTATTGTTTAAGCAAAAAGTATTTCTGCTGTTCTCTGAGATTTTGTGAGGATCTGCTCCTGATTTCTCTGAAACCATATGACATTTCCCCACAATTACCCCAAATCACCAAAGAACATAAGTCCTGTACATTTCCAGATTTAAGTACTAATCCTGAATCAAGCACATATCATAAAAGAGCTTGTTAGCCTTTCTAGACTTGAAGCTCATAAAAGATAGAGAATTCTAAAGCTCCAACATGCACAACTTGCCTCATCACATTATCTTGTATATTAGTAAAGCATAATGATTGTAACTTAATTACTTTGTGATTACTTATAGTGAATGTCATAGGAATAATTCTCAGTGACAGCATTGATCAAACCTAATCTGCAGATATGAAAACCAACAGAAACTTAAAGCCATTAAGATTCAGTTTACTTAATATGGTTGCCTTGGGTAGCACAAAGGCTACGAGTGTGACTACTCATGGTGAAAGTTGGTGGTTCAGACACTACAGGTAGTGGCACTTTGGGAGATGGGTATTGCCATCGGCTCCTAAAATCTTGAATATGCTTTGGAGCAGTTCTGTTCTATACACCTGGAGTCACAGTGAGTCAGAAACTAACAACAATTATTATACTTATAGATTGAACACATAGCTGTAAAAAACACATTTAAATAGTTTATACAGGTTTATATCAATATGTATTGCTTTATTTTAAAAAAATGTTTAGTGCAGTTATTTCTAATGGTCCAAATACCACCCAAAGCTAAAGTTTTGTGCCCCATTTTTTATACATTTTTACTAACTCATTTATTCTAGAGACAATTGTATTGAGAATTTTCTCTGCTATATATCTTTTATTCCACTCTGAGTTTCTTTGTGATATAATGCATGAATATTTCAAACAACTGGCTTCAGAGTTAAGATGTTTTCATTAGCTCAGTTAAGTGCAATCATCATTGATTAAATATCTACTATGGGCTGCGTGCCACAGTTAGCACTAGATATATGAAGTTAAGTCTCTTTCCTTGAGGAGCTGAGAGTATACTGGGGAAAGTAATAGAATGTGGACATTGCAGTGAACAAGTGAATAGGGGTAATATCCACCTAAGAGACTGAGACAGGATAGAAGGCTTCCAGAGATAAAATCATATGGAGACAGTCTTGAAGAGCAATCAAGTTGACCAGAGGCAAGGGGGTTGCAGACCAAGGATAAGGTGGTTCCAGGCAGGACAGCATGACAAAGGCACAGGCAAAGGTAGAAAATAATGTACCCCAAGGAATCATGTGCACTTCCACATTTTCCAAATAATTGCTTTATTTCTCTGTTCATGTCCCAAATATATATAAACCCATTGTCATCAAGACCATTCTGACTCATAGTGACCATATAGAGAATGTCGAAGACTGTACATCTTTATTGTAGTAGATAGATTCATCTTTCCTCTGGAGTACCACCGAAAGGTTTGGACAGCCAATCATGTATTTAGCAACTCCAGGCCTAGATTGCAGGGCTATCAGAGGTGCATTAAGTTTATATAAAGGTAGTAGAAAATCAGGTGACTTGACTTCAGATTCATTTTCATTCCCACAATTCATATAAAAGAAGTTCAATGTTTTAGTAAGTCAGTGAAAAGAGGATAACAAAACCAGACCCTGTCTCACTATAAGCAAGGAAGACATTGAAGGACAAAACGTAGTTATAGTCTTATTTTTATACACTACTGTTCTAAACATTTTTTTCCTGAAAGTCAACCCTCATGAAAGTCGCAGTCAAGAAATAAAATGACGTAATGCGTAAAACATCTTGAAAGCATTGAAAAGCCAAGATAAGGTGCACCTGACTCAAGGTATGGTATTTTCAATCACCTCAAGTGCATATTAAAGTTGGACAATGAATAAGGAAGATTGTAGAAGAATGATGCCTCTAATTATGGCATTGGCCAAGAATGTTTAAAATAGTGAGGACATCCAAAAGAGCAAACACATATGTCCTGGAAGTACAGCCAGAATGCTCCTTAGAAACAAAAATGGCAAGACGTCACCTCAAGTACTTTGGAAATGGTATCAGGAGAGGCCTGTGCTTGGAAAAGGATAGCATGCTCCTAAAATAGAGAGGGTCAGCAAAAAAGAGGAAGACCCTCAATGAGACACATTGACACAGAAGCTGCAACAACGGGCTCAAACATAACAATGGTGAGGATGGCTCCAGATGGGGCGGTGTTTTGCTCGGTTGCACGGAGTTCTTATGAGTCAGAACCAACTGCATGGGACGTAACAGCCATGGCAACAATGCTGTTCTCAAGTCGTTTACAAGAAGAAGGCACTGAAAAATTAGCATAGTTGTGCCTGCTCAACAAGAGTTGGAGATTCGAGTACAAATAAAGCTTGAATTCCTCTCATCTCCCTGCTTTTATACGTGGTTCAGGTTTGGTGGAAGACTAGAAAAAGTGATTGTGAGTCAGCATCTCACCATGGAAACCATACATGCTCCAGCTGCCAGGTGCCGCAGGAGGATGTTTGGGAGGCACACGCCCTGTGATCTCCAATAGAAGAAAACTGGCAAGTGCTCCTCCAATTCCAGGAGAGAAGAGCAGGCTCCCAATGTCCTCTGTAACATACATCCTGTCTGCCAACCCAGGAAGGTGTTTAACTGGTGGCACTAAAGAGAAATTTAACAGGAACAGTGTCTGGGCGGGTTTTTCTCTGCTTATGTCCAAGGCAGAGAGTTGTTTCTTAAGTGATATTACAGGCTGGGGATCTTGCCTTAAATTCAAACATGCATACTTGATTCAACCAAATGATCACTGACTGCCTTCCTAATGAAGCAGCAGCTTTATATTCTATACAAATTCTCTTTTGGCTTTCGTTTCACAGAAGCTAGGAGCAGAACAATTATGTTTCTTTACCTAAGGAATAGACTTTTCTGAGAAATTCTGTATTTTGCTTTACACAAAACTTCCTTAAGCTACTCTGAAAGGAGAGCCTTCTAATTTCCTAAAATTTATATTCAAGGACAACTACCTAAAGATGTAACATACTAAAGTTTACTCCAACATTAATTAGTTTTGCATTTGAATATAACTCTGTCTTAAACTAATGTTTGTGTTCTTTTCTCCTATAATCCTTCTACAGGAAAGATAATGCTTCCACAGAAAACGTAATCATTGAAAATCTGCATCTCACTATGTTTTGGAAAAAAATTATAAAGACAAGGAGACTACAATCAAGTAAAAAATGAACACATAAATTGAACACTCTAAATATTATACCTGTCTAGGTTGTGCAATTTCAGGATACAAACTGCATCATAACAGGTTCTACTGATGCAACAATGGAAAAATGCCTCTCCTCATAATATTTCAAGATAAATAACAAGTATTTCTTTGTAAACTTGATTTTGTGTGCTAGCATAATTTTTATAACTCATTAATTAGATACTATGATTAAAATTTGCAGTTGGTTCGAGCCATGTTTTTTTTTAAGCTGACTTGATCTATTCCAGTTTCATGACTGTGCTTACATTGACTCAAATGTCACAGCTCATGTGGAAGTTCAGAGTTTGTTTTCATTCTTTTCTAAATAAATTAAGGAGAGCCTGAAATTCTAGTGTTTCTTTCATTGTTGAGGGGACAAAATATAGTATTATACTAATAATGATATTTTACTCCCATGAATAAATCTTATGTTGAAAATGCCTAATAGATCCACAGTACACAGTCACATACACACATGAAAGGGGACTTCAAAAAGTTCATGGAAAAATTCAATTATGTTTTAATTCCATTTTTCCAGGAACTATTTAAAGCCCCATCATATGCCATGTATACTTATATATATGGATATAAAAAATGGAATTTTTTTCAAAGCTATGCACTTCATTTTTTTTTTTACAAAACAACCTTATCACCTTCAAAGTACCCTCCATTATACGTTATACATTTGTCAAATCTGCATTTCCATTTTTGGAAACATTTTTCAAACT